TCTTTCCCTGCTTTTGAGACACACTTTTCGAAAGTCAATCCTTTACTGAAATTGTTAGTAGCTCTGCCGCTGCTTTTCATATTGCCTTCAGGTATCACTGATAACGACATACGTGAACAAGAATATAAATGTATTGATCGGACACACGTGGACTTAACATTTTTTTTTATTTTTTTTTGCAAATATAATTTTTTAAAGGTTTTCATATATGAGATGCTGGTCGATTTTTTCGATAATATTATATAACCGAGAGAGAAGAGAATGTGATAAAGAAAAAATTACTGCAATATTTTTTCTGCCCTTTTTAAATATTTTGTTGTACTTTGGTTTATTTATTTGGTTTATTTATATACAATATTTTTTATATGCATAATTCACTTCGTAAGCTTACACTATACATATGTAATATTTAACAATCTATACTGTACAACTATATATTTATTTAACATACTTAATAATACAGCGCAGGAGAATTTGTATGACTAATCATGCAAGAAGATGGAAGGATTTCGATTGTAATTAACAATGGATTAACAATAAAGTAATTTGTAAAATATCACTTTAAACCTGAGCTCATTGAATACGCAAAAGTGATTATTTACGAGTGCAAAGATATTCGGACGAGTAAAAATTAATTCGTAAATATATATCTACACATTTACGAATATTTTTTTAATAGTTTAGTAAAATATATATAAATATAAAAAAATATACATATGATATATTTATATATAAAATCTGCTTGGCAAACTCCGTATTCTATATAATAAGATACATATGTAACAGTAAACTACATTTAATATATTATTATTATTAATATATTATTATATCATTAATGCGATATTATTAATAAAACTGCTATATATAAAATAATAGTACGTTATATATCTTACTTACTCATAGACTTTCTTCAATACTTGTTAATATTATATCGATACTTTCATCATAGCAGTATAGATAGTTGCATCAGTAAATGCAGTTTACAAAAATATTGAGCTTATTTTTCTGCCTTAATAAATGTGATAACAAAAATTACGTATAATTACGACAAATAAAAAAAAATTAAGTATATTGTTTCATTAAGTATCTGAGTTTATCTTCGGAATATTTACTCGTGTATCGATTATAATTATATATTCGCGACACTACAAACTATATATTTTTCATTAGAGCCGCCATGCAACCTTTGCTGAAGCAAGATCACAAGTTGAGAGAGAGAGAGAGAAATCGATATAATATTTTTAAATGATATAAAACTGTCATTATTAACTATTATTTTCGATAAATATATTTTATTGGCTTCGATATAAAATAAATTTATTTAAATTGTTAAACTCACATCGATATTATATAGCAATTCTCATTTTTAGATCTTATCTTATACATGTTCTGAATGTTACGATAACGCGATAAAATGTTTACAGTGTGTAAATATTATTTAATTGTTAGGTATATATATATATATATAAACCCATGTTTTTAAAATAAATCTTGCTTTATCTCGTTGACCCAATTCATCCTAAATAAATTGATATACGTTTAATTTACCGTAAGAGATTTAAAGATATTTATAATTTCTAAAAGTAAAAGCTTAGAATGTAAAGAAATATAATATTACTGTGACTCATCATGTAGAAGAACGTTGACATTACGGCGAGAATAATCTAACAAAACAATCACTAAATATATGACATACAAAAATATGATTTTCTATAAACGCTCTAGATACGCATTATAATACTCAGGAGAAGTATTGTGTCCATACAAGAATGTTCCGAAGAAAGGCATAATACAATGTATTCTTTTAAGCTTGTAGAAAATATAAATGAAACTTGTCTGCATGCAAATATAATAATGTATGTCTTCTTTATATATATTCTTTCGGTTCTTTCTATATATTACAGATATATCACATATATTGAACGACATATGCTTTTAATTCGATTGAGTGTAAAAAGCGGAAAATCGAAAAAAAAAAATTCAATTAACAAATATTTATTTTCGAAAAATCCATTCATGCTTCGTCATGTTCCGCCATATTTGTTTACGTACGATTGCTTAGCCACCTTGAGGAGTTGGTCGTACATGCCTGGACCGGTTTCTCTTACCAACGAAGTGAACTGACTGTAGCTGTTTTGCAGTAATATATGAGGGTGATCGTATTCCTGTCAAAAAAGTGCCACCAAATTGTAATTTCACAGTTATATCCATCTTTCATATTTATTATTGCGTTATTAATATTCCAAATTAAATATTACGACTGACGTGGATGAATAGATGGGTATATTTATTTAATTAGCACTGTAGAATAAAGCAATATGATGAGAAATTTAAAATAGGAGCCTCGTGTCCTGAGATTTTGAGGAAAAAGAAATATTGAATGAATGCATTATTTTTTCAGGGGATAAGAGCTATACTTACAGCCATACGACCTTTATCCATCACCAGAACCTTATCACTGTCCATTATAGTGTTTAATCGATGCGCAACCGTGAGCATCGTGCAGGCCGCAAACTTTTTTCTGATGGTGCGTTGGATCAACGCGTCGGTTTGCGGATCGACATTCGCGGTCGCTTCATCCAGCATCAATATACGATTGTTTCTCAGAATGGCTCGCGCTAAGCATACCAATTGTCTCTGACCGACACTGTAATTGCTGCCTCTGTCAAACACGTGACTCTCCAAACCATTCCCGTTGTTAATGCCAACCGCGTCTTTCAACTCAACCTGGAATAGATATATTATTTATCAGGCAGTGTAATATATTCGTAATTATTCAATGTAAAGTGTTAGGAAACCTTGGAATCTTGGAGCTTGAATGGATTCTGGGAAGATTTCCGTAATCTTGAAAATTGGGAACTTTAAGATTCTGGGATTTTAAGATCTTGAAAGAAACAGAAACATTGAGATCTCAATATTTGTGAATGTTACAAGATTACGATCTTGATTAATCGCAGTTTTGTTTTCAAATTAAATATTGTCGGTCGACAAACCTCTTCGAGTGCTTCCCACAAGTCTCTGTCGGGGAATTCATCGAAGGGATCCAGATTACGTCTCAGAGTGCCTGAGAATAATACAGGATCTTGAGGGATGATGGATATTTTGCGTCGCAAATCCTCCAAGGCGATCACACCCGTGTTTATGCTATCAATCTCAATGATTCCCTCCACTTTCGCCAATCGAAACAGAGCTGCTATCAAGGATGATTTTCCGGCACCAGTTCTTCCCACGATACCAACCTACATAATAATTATTCTTAAGCATCTTAACTCTTTTAAATCAAACATTTTTCTTTTGCTCTGTTCTTGGTCACATATGGGTCACAATATCTAGTCGCAATTTTAGCTGTTTCAGTGTTTGAAAAAATCTACAAAAGTTTATATATATTCTTTGACATCTCCGTAGAAAATGACCATGTACAACAAAAGCTAAAAAATAAATTTTAAAGATTTTTTTATTGATTAAGGGCTTCGGGATATTCTATTGTTAAAAAATATCGATAACATCAAAATAATCCATATGTGACCCTTACAGATTAATTATTTTTAATTTCTTTATATTAATATATTTATTTTTTTCATATGTATATTATTTTTATATTTATTTGACATTTCATATTTATTTAAAATTTTTAAAACTATACTCGATATTGAAGATTAAAATTATAACTTTTCAAAAAGAAAAAATTGCTTTCTTTTTATTTTATTATTTTTTTTTTGTTTTGCAGAACTTCTTTTCAGAAAATAAACTTTTGAACATTTTATGTGTGAATTCTATAAGAATTAGAATTATAATTTTTCAAAAAAAAAAAATAAGAAAATAAAATAAATAAATAAATTTCTATTATCTATCTGTTTTGCGCAAGATTTCTAGATTGTTAAATCTATTGTTACCACGCCGACATTTTTCCATAAAATTCTCGTACCTTCTCCCCGGGATAGATCACCATGTTCAAGCTCTTAAGAACAGGCGGATCCTCGTCCGAGTAACGCATATAAACATTCTTGAATATGATGCTACCGTCTTTGGGCCAGCTTTTCGGTGCATTATCCGGCAATGCCAGATTCTCCTTGTCTTTCTTCTTCAAGTATGTTCCTCTATCTCTCAAATTTGGTTCTGCCGCAAGCTGAATATATTCGAGCACACGTTCCACTGCCATCATCTGATTTGTCACCTCGGCGCTTTGCCGCATTCCCCACTGAATTATCCCAGTCATTGCCATTATCTGAGTGATAGCCAATCCAACCTCGCCACCGGAAAATGCTGAAATATATATACAATACCTTCTTTAATTTGTTTAAAAATTAGGATTGGATACTCTATTATTTTTATGAAAAATATTTTAACTTAAATAGTAAATAGAGTTAAAAATAGAGGAACTTGTTAATTAGTTTAATAATCCATGAATGGATATACTTAATTTAAATATTGTTGAAAAATTATATTAAAAAACAGAAATTAAAAAATTTGATGTAATTACTGATCCATCTTTTTCTATTTGAATAGAAGTGCATACTTTGATAACACATTAACCATCAACTATTTTATTTTATGAGATAAAAATGTTGTTATAGATAAAATAAACAGAACAATTCTCGGATAAATTAAATAATTTTTTTAAAAAGTAATAACAGAATTATAAAATTTGAAAATAAAGATAGTTCTAAAACAAAATTAAATCAAAGTTTCATAAAAAGAGCAATTTGTAGATGCGAGTTTCGGAAATTGATTAAGAAAAATTGATGCTTACATTGATTGAATAGCAAAAAGCTAAAGGTGACGAGCGAAATGAAAAAGAAACAGAATACATCCAGAGTGAATCCGAATGCTGTGCTAGTGACAATATACATATAAACGGTAGACGTGTGTACATCCTGCAACTTGTCGAATTCCTGCTTCAGTATAGTTTGAGCGCAGTATGCTCTGATAGTTGTCAAACCGTTTAACGTGGCATTTAGATGAGTAAATACTGGCGAGCGAGCTGAAACGCAAAAGAATGTCCCATAGTCATAAAAAGCATCGAAAAGTAAATTTATAAATTAAAAATGAATAAATTCCATAATAAAGGAAAAGATTGAAATTTAAAAATGACCAAGCGAGAAAAATATTTTGGAAAGCATTTTATTCTGAAGACGCAACGAATTAAAAAGATTCTGTTTCTCATATATTTTTGAAAGATTTTTAATAGTTAGATATAAAGTAAATAATAAAAATTTTTTTATAAATTTTTGAGATAGAGAAAGAGCAGATTAAGTAAAGAAAAATAGACGTACCTATTCCTTCCAGCCGCTTGACATTTTTACTGGTCTTGAGATAAACTCTGCGGAGCCAGTAAAATATTATGCTGATGAACACGATGGGCACCAAGAAGATAGGATTGACTATGCAGGTTACTATCAGCGAGCCGAACATCATCATGTTCATCTGTCCGGCATCCAGGCACGCCTTGGGTAATAATTCGTCGATAGTGCCCATGTCCTTAGAGAACCGGTTTAATATCCTTCCGCTAGGATTGGTGTCGAAGAATCGCATTCCCGTGCGAATTAATGCGCTGAACATCATATCGTGCAAACGCTGACTGCAAGTCATGCATGTCTTGTAAAAAAATAACGATCTGGTGATACCAATAATGAAAATGCCCAGCACAATGCCTGTGTAGATGTAGATATAAGTCATCATATTCTCATCATCCGAGGGAATAGTATCTGAATGATTCGTCGTTACATTCTCGTAAGTATCATTCGTTTGATTCAAGCTATGTAATTTGGCTAGATATCTTTGATCTTCTACAGTATTGACTCTGGCAGAAACAGATTAAAAAAATTACTTAGATAGAAAAAATATCTTTGCTTAAGGTTAATAAAAATTTATATTAAATATGTGTATGCGCTTGGAAAGCTAATATGCATCAAGTAAAATATATATACTTCAAAAAATCGAAAAATGAAATGAAGATATATTGCTGAAATAATTTTTTTTTTTTCAACAATAGATACTTACAAGAAAGGCACAAAGAAGTCGCTGAGACTGACAATAAATTGCGTGAGGATAAACAGCAATAGAACAATGAAGGCCATGTACAAATTGGCACCAGTTTGGAAGAACTTGATAAATATAGAACCTTTAACTATACCACGTGACGTCCCCTCAAGACCGTTATTTAGTTGCTCTTCATCTTCGTCTTCCTCTTCGTCGTCTGTGCCACCGCTGCTGGCGTCCGGAGTACGACTCTGTCGAATAAATTTCGTTATCAGTAACATTTCCTTTTTTTTTGTTTAAATATTATTTGTTATTAAATAATATTGTTGTTATGAAAACATTAAGCCTCAAAAAATTGTAAAAAATTATATTTTTTTTCAAACCGTCTTAACTTCAAGTTTACAAAGAAATGAAAATCACATATTTTACAAAATTTTCTTTATCCCTCTTCGTAATGTTATGTATATTTATATATTTTTACTTACTCTATTACTTGCGGAGGAAAACTTTCGTCTCATGTTCATGCTTCTTTCTAAAGACGAGTCATCGATTTCGTTCTCGTCTGCCAAGAGTACTCCGTACTCGGGTCGATACGCCAATAAATCTTGGTAATGCGAAAAGTACTTTATTCTTCCTTGTTCGAGCAGTATAATGGCGTCCACTCCCTTTATGTATTGCAGCTGATGCGTCGCCAAGATCCTCGTCTTATCGGCTAAGTATCTCTGAATACATTCGTGAAACAAATGTTTGCTGACGTGTGCGTCGACCTAGAATTTTACCAGGTAAAAAAAATTTCTTATCAAAATTCAAAATTTAATTAATTTTGTTTGTGAAATTTATATCCCTTTAATTGATTGATAAATCATTTTCAAAAAGAAAAAGTCGAAATTAATTAAAGAGAAGTTAATTTAAAAAAAAACTATATATTGTTAGGTATTATTGTTGGCTCATTATATTTGATTTTAAGATTTACATCATTAAAAAAAAAAAAAATCGTAAAGAGCCCACACTTGGAGATTATCAATTTTATATTCTGCATATAATCATTATACATGAAAAGATAAAAAATTACTGACACTTTTGAAAGTTGCTTACCGCGCTTAAAGGATCATCCAACAGGTAGATGTCCGACTGTCTGTACAGGGCCCTGGCCAGATTGATCCTGGCCTTTTGTCCCCCAGACAATGAACTGCCACGTTCGCCTACCATAGTCTGGTCGCCCTGCGGGAACTGTTTAAAGTCGCGCAGCAGGGCGCAAGCCTTAATCACCTTCTGGTATCGGTGACGCTCATAAGGCTGTCCGAAGAGTATGTTCTGTCGAACAGTGGCACCAAACACCCAGGCTTCTTGGCCGGCATAGCTGATACTGCCGTTGACCTTGATCTGACCACCCGTCAGGGTGATTTCACCCAGAATCGCAGACAGAAGGGAGCTCTTGCCGCTGCCCACCATGCCGATCACGGCGTACAGCTTTCCCTTCTTCATTTCCAGATTCAAATCCTCCAAGATATTTTGTGACTGCCTAGCCTCCCACTTAGCAGTTACGTTGATCATTTTGATGGCACAATTGTTATCGTTGTACGTAGATAACCGCTTCTTTTCTGTAAATAATGAAATTTAGTTCACAATCCGACAAGTACATCAACGAAACACCTGATTTCGCGAACTCACCCTCAATAAGATCGGCGGTGTTCTTTAGCAAATCGCTAGCGACGATCATCAATCCATTCTGCTTTCTGTAATCATTACTTTGGTCTAAGTTTTCATAACTGTCCGCGACATCATCATCAATGAAGGGCAATTCCTGCCTCTCCTCCTGCTTGTAGGCGGTTTGCTTATCTGAACAGAGGCTAGGATAGTCGGAGGACGCTTTAGAGATGCTGCTGTTCTGAAACTCATCGAACAGGAGGAAATTCTGAAGCCTGCGTATAGCCACCATACACTCAGCCAGCTCGGCGAAGCCGCGCACAAACATGCCAGTCATGGTCTGCGCAAGAATGTTGAAGTAGGACGAAACGACGAAGACCTTGTCGGCGGTGATCTCGTTGCCGAACATCAGCATGGTGACGAGGGTGCAGTAGAGCGCCATCCGAGTCGTGAAGAGATTGAATGTCATGTAGATGCCACGGATGTACGAGCTTTTGGTCACCACTCGTAGCTCGAGCTTGCGAGCCAGCTCGACCATCGCGCAGAACGGCTTTTCCCACGCGTACATTTTGATCACCTGCACTCCGGAAATGATCTCGTCCATCAACCGAACTCGCTCGTCAGTTTTGATTGCTGTCTGAAGACGAAACTTGGACGACAGCTTGCCGGTGTAAGCTAAAATAGCGAGAATGGATGAAGAACTTGTGAAGAAACTTTACGAAGGATTTATCCAAAGAGAAATTATTATTGTTTACGTAATTTAATCAATTACGATCGGACGGGAGACTCACATTGGATCGGCACAACCAAGAAGATAGTGGCAATACCGATGAGACCGGCATAGCCGACCTCCTGGTACAAGATGTAGGCCACTATTAGGGCGGACAGAGGTGCCGACCACATGTGATGGATAAAAATGGAGACGAGATCAAATCTATTGACATCGTTGGCCACCAGATTGACCACTTTTCCCGGTGCTGTCTCGCCCAGCGCAGTCTTGCTCAGACGCAGAGCCTGCCAGATAAATGTAAAATATTCTTACGCAATTCAAGAGTTAATACACTGATAGGTTATGTTGTGGAATGACATGCGATTGACAAGAATTATTTTAATCTACTTTATATATCGCATAAGTGAATGTCAAAGTTCTGGTCTGTGACATTATTGATAGAGAACTTTTAAATTGCTTCTTCCTTCATATTCCGTTATAACTTTTCTATTTTCTCTTCTTCTCGGTGTATTTTTCTCATTTTCCTTCCTTTTTTTTATAGAACCGAAAAACCGGACGAAGATGACGTAAAGGAAGTTCCTTTCAAGACCTGTTTTAGATACGATTTCTTATCTAATCTTTCTTTTCCGAAACATACTTCTTTTCAGATAGATCTTCTAAATAAATTGCTTCAAAAAACAGATAACCCGCCTTTCTTCCTGGAAGCAGTACCCGAGTGGTCCCCCGGGGTCCTTCTCTTGCACCAGGGAAAAGAGTTTTTAGGAATCCGGCACAACCGGGGAGTCTCGCATCAGGCCCCCCGGTGTCTATGCAAAATCTCCCTCTCAAAAAAAAAAGAAAAAAAAGATAACCAACCTTTCTGTACACCACGGAACAGACGGCTACGCGGATCTTGGCGCCAACGTGAAAAGCTCCGAAAATGGTTTGATTGCCGCTTATCACGTTCATGCCAGTCGCTATGCATATTCCAGCCGCGTACCATAGAGCGTTCTCATACGATTCGATCGAGTCCTTCCGGAAGTAGCGCAAGAGACCACCCAGCAGCAACGGCGTGCCCAATCTGCGAATTTCGTACGTTAATCTTTTAGAACCTCTGCTAGATGATTTTATCAGGATATAATAAATATAATATTTTTTGTTTTATTTTTTTATATTATACATAATATCAGAGCGGTCAGTATTGGACACTGTTTCGTCCCAGATTATACGGTACAATGAATTATAATAATTTTTAATGTGTATGATTATTTTATTATACTCTATTTCGATATGTTATCAGTTATCATTATGCGGAAACACGTGCGTGTTTAAAATATCTTATGTCCTAAATCTTTTTCACGCGTTTCTAACTTTATCACTCCATCTAAATCTTACCCAAATCTTTCTTAATTTTCTACGTAAGGAGTTAATCTCTTAAAGTAATCGAGCTATTATCGCTCTAACTTTATCTCTAAAAAGATAATTTTAACTATCAATAAATTGTTAACGACCAAACGCATCATTTTTCACTAAAATCGATGATACCTTATCACAAACTCGTTGAGTATCTGAATCATTCCGAGCAAGAAGTACTCCCACGAGAATGTACGGAAAATGGTCTTCAGCAAACTCGGATTGCGTTTCCATTTCTTCGCGTTTTCCAGTTCGATTTTCCATCGTCTGAAAACACATCGATACCCTACGCATTATTATTATTACTGCGCCTTAATAAAGGAAAGAAAGAGAGGAGGAGTAAAAAAGAAATATCTTCTCCTCTCTCCTGTCATATGATGATCCCGATAGGAACAGACGGCTACGCGGATCTTGGCGCCAACGTGAAAAGCTCCGAAAATGGTTTGATTGCCGCTTATCACGTTCATGCCAGTCGCTATGCATATTCCAGCCGCGTACCATAGAGCGTTCTCATACGATTCGATCGAGTCCTTCCGGAAGTAGCGCAAGAGACCACCCAGCAGCAACGGCGTGCCCAATCTGCGAATTTCGTACGTTAATCTTTTAGAACCTCTGCTAGATGATTTTATCAGGATATAATAAATATAATATTTTTTGTTTTATTTTTTTATATTATACATAATATCAGAGCGGTCAGTATTGGACACTGTTTCGTCCCAGATTATACGGTACAATGAATTATAATAATTTTTAATGTGTATGATTATTTTATTATACTCTATTTCGATATGTTATCAGTTATCATTATGCGGAAACACGTGCGTGTTTAAAATATCTTATGTCCTAAATCTTTTTCACGCGTTTCTAACTTTATCACTCCATCTAAATCTTACCCAAATCTTTCTTAATTTTCTACGTAAGGAGTTAATCTCTTAAAGTAATCGAGCTATTATCGCTCTAACTTTATCTCTAAAAAGATAATTTTAACTATCAATAAATTGTTAACGACCAAACGCATCATTTTTCACTAAAATCGATGATACCTTATCACAAACTCGTTGAGTATCTGAATCATTCCGAGCAAGAAGTACTCCCACGAGAATGTACGGAAAATGGTCTTCAGCAAACTCGGATTGCGTTTCCATTTCTTCGCGTTTTCCAGTTCGATTTTCCATCGTCTGAAAACACATCGATACCCTACGCATTATTATTATTACTGCGCCTTAATAAAGAAAAGAAAGGAGGAGTAAAAAAGAAATATCTTCTCCTCTCTCCTGTCATATGATGATCCCGATACTTACTTTTCTAACCGATCTCCGAGCAGACCCGATCGGTCGACTTTCAAAGGGTCAAACAAGTCCTCTGATTCTAGAACTTTCTTGTATCCTGTCTTGAATAAACTGATAGTCCACCTGATGATTCGATGAGAGAAACGATGTAATTCAATTTGATTTTATCAAAAATTGTGTATTAAAGTACAAACGATGTAATCGTGAGAATAAATGACAAAATCAAGAATTAAAATTGAAAGATTAAAAACTTATTGTTGCAAGGAATTTATAACTTGAAGACGAGCATGATAATCTAACTTTGTCATCTTGTCCCGACAATTGCGATGTCATTCTTAAATACAAAATAAATTTGCGTGAGAAGATAAGGTGTAATTTGACATGGTAAAAGACAATCTTACGTGCCACGTGTGCGTTATATATAGCACATTGTGCATTATTACGAAATATCATTCTAAATAATTGAGCTTAATATTAACGCAATTAATGATATTTACCTTAATGAAAATATTTTTCCTTGATATTAATGCATGATTATTATCACAAATTGCGAAATGTCATCCTAAATGATTGATCTTAATATTATCGCGATTAATGATATTTATCTTAATGAAATATTTTACCTTAATATTAATGCATGAATATTATCACAAATATTTAAATGTGCAAATGTACAGATATCCAAACACATCAAATATATTTTAATCTCTAAATATTTAAATATCTTTGAACACTTGGATAGCTCTAGATTCCACGGTATCTCATGAAAAGTCTAATAAAATTTCGATTCATTCGAGAAATTGCATGACTTACCACCATAGCAATACCGACAGAATGTTCGCCTTTTCCCTTGGATTCGGCTTCGACTTGGTTTTCGTTGAATCCATCAGTCCTTAGGCGCAGCATTAACTCACCGCAAATTACTTGAACCAACACGATGAAATCGATTACCTTATTGAGTTAGCTACACCACAATTATTAACACACTGTCACTCGTATTCGACGTTTGAATCGACTTTCTTTTTTTAATAAAGAACACTTCCTTCCTTTTTCAACAATTTACAGTATCAATATACTTTCATCAATTAGCATCAAAAATCGATAATGAACTGAAGTTGTGAAAATTTACAGCTTTTGATATCAAGATTATCAGCCGCGATTTCAATCACTTGACAAATTAACACTTCGCGTATCTTGTTGTATCAACTTCTTTTGCAGATATCATCAGTTCCCACAATCAATCGTGCCAATATCTATTTATTTTGCGAATCTTCGATGAGGCTCTTGAAAAAGTAAGATATCAGCCACTAGATCGCCTGTATGTCACCACTTGATATTTATCTTCAAGTGCATTTTTGCGATTCTCGGGATGTCTTAATGATTCTCTCTAGCAATTTTTAAATAATAATAATTATATTTATTGCATATATATACATATAATAATTATATACTTGACATTATTATTACTCTTATGTGTAACAATTACTTAAAAAATACATAGACGATAATACTTAGATAATAATTCATTTTTGCTAATAATTTTCAACTGATAAAAAACTTTGGAAATATATTTCAACTTACTAATATTTTTTCTGTTCTTTCTTGCTTTTTTTAATTCTGTCGATTGCTATTGTAGTAGAAAAAATGGGCGCACCAACTATTGTAGTGAGAAGAACGATCGGCTTGTCGTTCAAATATAAACTCTTCGAGTATGTCTATCTGTTTAAAAAAGAAACTTATATCATTTGCTTGCACTCTCTCCGCTTTATCTAGCTACACGCGATTTGTTTGCCTGCTGTGTCACTTCTCAAATAGCATGGAAGGTCATGCGATGGTAGCTACAACTCGTATTTATCGTATAAGTAATAAAGTACAATTAAGATGCACGTTCGTCATGAGTTTGCGATCGACGGCTTAGAGAATCTTATTTTTATGCTAGACATATATTTACAGATCTGAAAAAATAAAAATTAAAATTAAATTTAAACAACTGAAAAATCTTATAAGATTTAAAATTATAAATTAGAAAATATCGTACACAAAATTATAAATTGAGAGATCACAAACTAGAATAGTTATAGATTGTAAAATTTGAATTAAAAGATTATAAAAAAGTTAGTTAATAAATGTAATAATTTATGTGTTATTGAAATTGGTATTTATTAATAATTATTTAATTATCTATTCAATCAAACATCTTGCGATTGAAAATTATATAAAATTATATAAAAGTATCATACATATTATTAAGTGTTAAAACTCTTCGGGATTTATCGTGTATAGTTGACTTTTCCTCATGCAAGATTAAAAATATATTTTTAATTAATATTGTGCTAGATATTAATACTTAATGGGGAAAATCCGTAGACTTTGACGAATGTGTACAAAGTTTATCGGTCATTGACTAGATATAAGCTACAATGATGCGAGAAAAAAAACGCATTGATAAAATCCTTATAATAGATAATCTATCTCACGTTCGCGTATTATTATCTTCGATAATTAATACATTCTCAATTGCTTCTCGTAATTAAAATAATCTCTCAGAATTAACTTCTTTATTATTCGAAAATCCATTATTTCAAGGATCCCGTTTCGAGTTTATATTTTCAGTTCAGATAAAGCTCCTTAAAATGTTTTCTACATAAAATACGAAAAAAGGCAGCTAAGAATTTTAATATTTGAAAGATTAAATCATTTATCAAGAAATAATACAAATTTTTATGGTTTGCATTCGTAGAGCTCTTCTTTTCACATTCTTTTCCACATAATAGTTACGCCTATGATGTAGAGAAACGTTCAAGGTTCTATATGAAAGGAAACCAAGTTTGTTTTTTACCTGTCATTTCGGGTTCTGTTAATCGGATGCGAGAAAGAAAGAGAGAGAGAGAGAGGTGTCTTAAACTCAGGATCGGATTTATCTTGTTTAGGAGTTCTTTGTATATCTGTACCTAAGCGTTCTTATGTGTCTACAGCTAAATCTGATCCTGCTTAAGATATGCCATGTAAATTTGCAGATCAAACTTTGCCGAAAGCAAAGAAAAAGTAACGATTGTTTCGTCAAAATCAACAAAATTATACATTCGTGATAACGAAAAGAATACAAAATATATATATGTGTGTATAAAAAATATATAAAGATTTTATGAAGAATTTATGAGGTAAGATTTACTCTCTAACATCTTTCCATTGTTTTCTAAATTTATTTTATGAGTTCTCTCTAGAAAATAATTAGATAACCTTCATAATTAATGAGATAGATGTTTGTTACCGGCAATATCGCGAATCTAAACATCACATGTTATCCCGAGATATTTTCCAGAGAATATGAGCCATATGCGCGATAGCGAAAGTGATAAGACCTTTCTGGCTTTATTATATTCGTATGGTAAAGTAATATCATCCGCAATATTTGAATCTAGAAAAGTGTTTATAAATATCAAAATATTTGATTTTCTATCTTGATTCATATCGCATTTATTTTACTTACTCTCTTACTCATATCATTTTATTTACTCTCTTACCCTTCGTATTCATCATATAATTAATTAATATCATTTTTAATATAATTAACATAATTAATATATTTAATATAATAAATATATTACTCATTTTATATCTTAATATAATATTAATTAATATAAAATTAACAGCTCTCTGCACTTGTATATTATATTAATTTTTATTTGTTAAATTTAAATAAATATTTTGCTGTTTTGCAATTTTCACGGCGATCAATTTTTTCATTCGATGTGCAATGACTAAACTATTACGATTCAGTGCTTGGCCAATGTATTTAGAAAACGGTATGTATTGAAAAATACGATTTTTGTAAAGACAATGAAATCGAGAAACAAGTGCAAGAGGGGGGAGGGGATTGCTTTGTTAACAGAGATTATTTTAAATTATCTAACTTATAGCATTTCTTACAATATTTACTCATCAAATCATGATGATAATACAAAAGTAAACATTTTCTTTCAATATAAGGATCTACTGCAATGTAAGATTGCATAATAAACGGCAAGAAATGAAGTAACATTTATTTTGTATATACGAGATATTTAAAAAGGAATATATTATAGTAAATATTGACAAAAAAACGCGCGAGAGAACCCAGTTTGCTGTTCATTTAACGCAAAAATGTTACGACACATCGCACGCAAGTTACGTGGCATGCAAATTTAATTAACACGTATATCAAAGTTCCAAAGATTTCCTCATAGAAGATATTTAATAGTATTCCAGACTTCTCTCTCTGATAAGCAGCATCATCTGTCGATCATGAATAATGCAGAACAGTGATTAAATTATCTTTTCTAGCCATATATCTTAGCGTTAAGCGGCGAACTAATCTTTATGGATAAATTCTAGATATCAAAAGAAATTCGCCGCTTTTATCATGTAAATTGCAATATTATTATACGATTATATAATAATTATAATAATTTATGTATATATGTGTGTGTAGCTTTGATTATTTCTTACACAAGTTTCTCGTTTTAATAAATATTAGGAATAAAAAAATGAATAAAATATCTCAAAAAATTTATTAGAGCGTAATTTATGATAGAAATAAAATCGAAACGATATTATATAATGTGTAATATTTGTATACATTTGTGATAATAATTTAATAATTGTGATAATAATTGTATAATAATTTAATATATTACTTTTTATAATATTAGTTATATGTGTCGTAAATAATGATAATTTTACGTGAAAATACAAAAATCGTATACAATGTGTAAATTGTAATTTCTATTTTCTTGAATATGATTATTTTTTTCTTAATCATCTCATGTATCATCTACGCACTTGTGACACATCGGGATTAATTTAGAAACAAAAGCATTAATGCACTTTGACTTTGCTCGAGCAAATGAGATCCATAAGAGAATGAATAACAACGTGACAGCGACGTATGTATACGAGTTGGCGATCAATGGTCGAAAAAAGAATAATAGCCAGCCGCGCAAAGCGTGGAGTAGCAACAAAGTTATATAATACGGCAGTTTTTCTTTAATACAATCACGTAATGCACACAAGATCGTACAGGCAGAGCCGTCGTAATCGGTAACCGCAATTGGGTACATCTGAGCCCATAAATTTATTTATAACTGAGAGATAAGAATGATAAAAATGACAATAATTATTATAATATAATTAATATAATTATTATTTGAATAATATATTAAATATGATATATTAAATGATATATTAAATATTAAATATTATTTGAATGATATAATACATATATGTGTGTATTATAGAGCACATATTCTCCCAAAGTTTCCCACCCAAGCGAAAAATATTTCGGCACTCAAATAAATCTCCTAGTCTGTCCAATCTGTTGGGATATCATAACAAATATAAATAAATACAGTTGATATCAAATAACGATAAAAGAGTAATATTATTGAACTTCTTGTCGAGACCACATAACTTTGATATCAAGAGAATCTTCAAATATATACGTAAAGATATTTAAAGATATCGTAAACTGAAAATTTATTTTTTTGTGGTTTTTCAACAATAATCAAATTAGTTTCACACTTTGAAATAAATAATAGAATAGATATTATAATTATTAAAATTTATTATATATTAAATATATTATTAATGCTAAAATTAAATTAAGATATTAATAATAAATAAAATATTGCTAACGATTAATTTTGTCACAAAATTGTCAACGATTTAAATAATTTCATAATTTTCATTTTGTACACACGAATTATCAAAATCTCTCTGTCTCTTATTATTCAAAAAAAAAATTATGATACTAGAAAGAGATATGATGATCTTAATTGATATATTATTATTAAAACCAGATGTTTCTTTTGTATCAGATCCAAATATATCAGATAGATATATGATAACTTCATTTACGCGCTATAAAATCTATTAAGAAACAGTTAAATGTTTGACGTATTATAACAACTGCAATGTGAGTTTGTCGTAAGACACCAGGTCAATTGTTCAGCGACGCATGATATATAATCTTTATTGAAACACAACTTGATCACATGACTCACATTTGGCGCAACTGAACGAGCGACTCCATAAATCAACTGAAAATGCACATCGCGACTTTTTTAATCCCGAAAAAAATATTTCTCGACTTTTACATCATGGAATTTTTCAGAAACTTACCCTTCCCGCTGATCCGATCATTTAATTAAAAAATGCTGTTTAAGCGCAGATATTTTGTCTAGATAAAATAATTGTTCAACTAACAAAAAGATTTTTTTAAAAAAATTATTAAATTTATTTAAGAAATTAATTATGATTATTAATTATTAATTATTATTAATTTATGTAAGAAATTAATTAGTTGAAAATGTAACATGACAAGAAATAGAAGGATTGCGAAGGATTTTTGTTAAGGAAAAGGAATAAGAAATATATACATACAAGTATAAAATTTTTAGAATTCCAAGATTTGTTATAAATCAGGAATTTTTTTTATAACAACTCGAAATATTTTCTAAATTCATTTGCAGATTCAAGAATAAAACTTTCCTCGTCTAAGGATCTCAAGAAAATTCAACTGTCAAGAATTGCTGTAAAGCATGGGAAGCATGTTGAATAACAAACAAGAATGTAGTTCGAACACGTACAGCGATACACGTGACACATGATAAACAGATTTGTATCCGATCAAAAGTCAATATTTGAAAGTGGCCAAGAACAAGAGCTGAGATAGAATCCCACATTAAAACTGTACGTGTTTTTCAAAGTCAAATTAAAAACTCATGTGCACTAGTACTATTTGTATATCTGCGAATAATTTTCTTTTATATTCAAATATATAAAAAGAAATTTAAAGATAAAAGAGTGGAAAAAGAAAAAATTAAGACTACTTGATTCTTTGAATTGAGCAAAAAAAGCAAAAGGAGTCTTTCGCAAAGAAAACAAACATTTGTCACGGTCGCTTCTTCGCGTCACGTGTGCGTGAGGTGACGGAAATTTACATGCAAATAAATCTTTATTTATGAGCACATGCGTGAAATAATCTGCGTAGCAGATATTTTTCGCATTGTTATCATAGTCTCTTGTCAACTATTGCTCCTCCCAGATTCTCTTTGTCTTCTCAAATAGCTCCTCCGAGGGAAACAAGCGTAATGTAAATAGAATGCGTTCTTAAAAAAATTCTTTATTTTAAATTGTGAAACAAAAGTAATCTATTTTTCTTTAAAAAAAAAAAAGTTATATATGTATATAATTATTTTTACAAACACATATATATTTTTCCGATCAAACTTGTTTATTTATTATAAACGCTTCGTTGACTGATGAATCATATCACAAATAACAAAATCTTTGGCACGAATTTATCACATATAGAAGCTGAGAATCATTTAAATTAAATTGTCAAAGCAAGAATCTCTCTAAAGCAAAATATGCCCCAAAAGATACCCAAAAATAATCCCTTCATTCTGACGTTAAACGTTGCGCCGGATATTTTGAGACACTAGGTGGACGATGACATATCGTAAGCATTCTTTGCGAAGTGACTTGAGTCATGACGTAATTCTTCCGTGACGTGTAATACACGAGAGCGAAACGCGTCCAGCAGAAACCAGTTACGCTTAAATAGCGATCGCGAGTGCAATTAATACAACGGGTGTTTCAGGCGCATGTAGTTGTTATATTCTAGTAATAACAATAATATTATTATAATAGCAATAATAATAGTAATGTAATTATTTTATAACTACTTTCTTTCTTGATTCGAACAAAGAAAATTTCTTAATTAAATGTTATTGTTACACAAATATATTATTTATGATTTTTTAAGCATAGCATATAATTCCACAAATATAGATACATAGGATATATCAAGGATCGCGCGGTTTCTCTCACGCATAGTTTCTGGAGATGTTTGGAGTCGATTTCTCTCCGGAATAACGAAAAATAAGGAAAGGTCAACACGTTCTAGAGAATTGCCGATAACAATCTATATTTATCCTTCCTATTTATTTTCGCATCATAATTATAATCTCATCAAGTTTACCGAAATAAAATGCCAACAAAAATGATTTATTTATTAAAGAAGAAATTATCATATATCTCGATACGCGTAGCAAATTATCGACCCAGGACATACAATGAATAAATACATCTGTACTTCTTATCAACGACTCGCCTTTAAAATATAAGATAAGAATATGCATGGAGAAATACATTTATATTTGAAACGGAAAACATCATAAAGGTCATAATATTTCAATATAGTGTGTTACAGTACTCCAAGAACTGTATCATTGCTATTTTTGAATTAAATTTATAATTAGATATATACCGTTAAACCATGTTATAAGCTACCATTTAAATATCTCCTACTCTCTCTTTCTCACACTGTCTACGAGAAATGACATAACTATTTTTGGCAAGCTCCGCGAGAATTGGGAACCGATAAAGAATGATTCGCCGCGTCACTTTCAAGCATAACAGCAGATGTTGTACGACCGGTTAAACTTTCTTCTGATCGAGATTAAACCTCGACCCTCACCTAATCGAAGATTTTGGCCGTCGTTGTATTCATCGTATTCTCGGAGACGGTTCGTCGCACACGTGGCCGAATTCTTCCACTGCTTTTCCTATACAGATTCACCGTTTACACGACTCACACACGTATGAATACGAATGTACACAACGACGGAGGAAAAACAACTGGCCGCGACGACGTCTGCGCGAGCACTGAGCCTGCATTGAGCGTCACGCCGCTCTCGCTACATATAACACGCAATCCTTCGTCGACCGCTCAGTTAAGAGCTAAAGGGATGTCGAATAATCACAGATGAGGAATTTAAAGGGGGGAGAACCCCAGAGGGATTCCCGGTTTAGCCTCAGGTCGTAAGTTCTCATATTTTTCGGATGAAAGTAATTGCGATTCGAATAAAAAATTAAAAAGATTGCTTCTCGTATGATTAAAATTTTTGTTAACAGTTTAATGTAAAATTCCGACATTCTACAGTGAAATTTTAATTATTTGAAAGGATCATGACTCGTAAATAGATCGCAATGATTGCTGGTGTTATTATATTAAAAATAAGTGCGTGATAAGCGACAAATTTCAATTTACATTATGCATAATTAACTATTTGTTTAGGTATAAGCAAGAATTCAAATCATCTAATTCAATTTTCAAGTAAGTACATTTCGTAGAGCTTTCGATCCTGCTCATTACGAAAACTTGGAATAAAATTGATTTCTACTATTTCCTTGAAGCCTTCTTCCAAAGTTGGTGGCACATAATTTTTCCTACATATCAGACAAAACAATTTTTGACATTACTAACTATTATACTAACTATTGGACTAACTATTGTTAAACATTAAAAAAATAAATTCGGACTTTTGTATGTTTTTCTTATTAGGATCAAATTAACTTATGTATGTCTGTGTGTATATGTCTATTCTTCACTTTTCCTTCGAATTTGACAGTCAAATCATTAGAATATGAATAAAGACTGAAAAAATTTAAAAATATAAATATAATTCGGTCCTGATGAAAGAAAAATACCAAAGCTCGATCGTAATTATAATTTCGTTTTTATATATGATTTTAGAGAAGAATATATGAGTATGTAAAAAAAGAAGAATATATATATATAAATTTCACTTACATGTAAGAATTTATTATGATTTCGTTGACCGGAATGTGGCTTGGATCAGTCAACTCGCGAAACTGTACAAAAGATAAGTATTTCTCGGTTATATACAGGGTACAATAATATTTATACAAAAGAATTTATATATACATATACATAAGAATCAATTTTACACAATTACCTTATTATTATGCTTTGCGTGCTCTATACTTGTCGTCATAATAAAACATCTAATGAGAACGTTTCGTTTCTTTGATATCTCTGTATACCTTCGTCTTGAGGCAGGATCAGGATTAGTATTGTCTATAACTACGCTTTTTCCTTGATTTAAATATTGCTCGACTGCAGCTATGCACTTCTGCCAGCTGCCTAAAGTATCTCTATTGACATGTTCATATTCCTTCAAGTAATTCTTTACAAAATGCGATTTCCCAGAGCCTGGACTGCCGACCATAAGTATCATCTGTTAAAATAATAATAATAATAATAATGAATACATATGGGTATATAACCAAAAATTGTATTACAACAATCAAATATTTTTAATAATACAATCTTTTTTTATAATTAGTGCTCACCTCTTGCTGTTGTAGCGTTAATTTCGCGTTTACGGGTTTGTACAGATCGTCAGTTTGCGAAAAATTTTTCGGGTTGAATTTGGGCAATTCGTAAGGCGGCGTTTTATGCTTCAGAAAGTGTTCCTCTGGTGTTTCGAATTTGATACCCAAATTCAATGCCATTAATCGATCCGCGCTTGAATGATCTTTCTTCTTTCCCGGAGCCCAATTCTTTGGCCGACCAGCGGCGTCGCCGACGTAGAATGAGTTAGCTTTGTCAATCGTAATATTTCCATTCTTCAACAATAATAAAAATCATAAAGTTATAGCACATAAAAAAAAAGTGAATTAAAAAATTTATTAAAATTTATTAATAAAATAATTATTTATAATTCATTGAGAAATTAAAATTAGTTCCCTGTCGCTTAATAAAGCTAAAATAAATTCACGATAGAAATGTACAATATATAGAGAGATTCTCCAGAAGAAAAAAAACCTTCCCAAAAAAAAAAAAAAAAAAAAAAAACAACTTTTATAATTCCTAAACTTTTTTAATTGTTAACTCATTATAGACGCCGAGAAATGTATTATATATTTAATTACAAACCTCTTTTTCCAACAATTCCCACATACCGATTCTTGGTTTTCTATAAATACTTTTTCCCACGGCAATAAAAACCTAAAAGGTATAAAAAATAAAGCAACATATTTATTGACTTAAAATGATAAATTATACATATATCATACCTGAATGGGAACATTCATTTTCCGTACGATATTTTCAATTTTGAGCTTGAAATCGCTGATCTTAAATTTACCAGTGCTAAGCCCAGCTTGGTTTGTGAAGATTATTATTTTGTATCCATTCGTATGAAGCTGCTTCAATTTACCAGGTACATCAGGATATAGCAGTTGCCAATCGTTACAGTCCTTTGGAAACACCAAGCCAGATTTGGTCTTTATTAAAGTACCATCCATATCATACGCAGCTATCTAAAATTAAAATTTAGTTTTACTATCACTGTTTACATTAAATATTTTCAAAATCTTAGATATATATGTGCATATTATATTTATAAATATATGAAATTATATTATTACACTCTGTATTTGTAACATACAATGACAATAATTAAAATTATATTATTATGATAGCAATTAAATTTACTTTTGATCGATGTTGAACAAATGGTGTATAAATTAATAAATTTCCATTGTCAATACTATCCCACTTTGCAGATGCACTTGAATCATTATTGCTTTTTTCGGAGAGTGTGCTAGATCCAGCAGTGAATGCTTTCTGGTTGAAACAAACATCATTTGAAGTCGATTTTTCTTCTTCTTCTCTATCATTTCTCAATTCTTCATCAGAGTAATTATTCAGCTTTAACATTTTTGTTCTATTTTCAGTATCATCTGTTTCTAGCTCATAAGACCTTTTTTTCAATACAAAATTCTTTGCACATGGCGGTGGATTGAATTCAATCTCGTAGGCATACTTGCCGTACAACAGCTCCAAACGATCGTTGTGCCTTGCTACAAATCTTACATCCTTCTGAGTTTTAAAACCATTGAAACCACAGGCGTGCTCGCCAACTTGTTGAACTGTGACAATGGCTTCCGCATAGTTTGCACATAAACGAACTATTGTAAATACATAAGTGCATTATTGACTTGCAAATTAAAGCATAATGTACTTGATAGAAAACATAAGACGTGACAACTTATTACAAATAGTCCGACTGTATTAAGTAATTTTCAAATGTTTTTCTTTCTTTCACTCTTTTTATTCTAAAACTTTATTATCTAAATTTATATTTTTAATACTTTTTCCTTATTAAAAGCAATTATTTAATCTTATGAAGGATTAAAATTCTTTATAAGTTTAATTAAATAAAGAATATTTCAAACTTTAATTAATTGTCAATTCAATAAAATTTCTATTATTCTATTATTACACCATTATTATTATTACTTTGATCATTATTTTATTTTGTCTAAAAATATTGCTATTGTATAATTTTTTTCTCTTCAAGTTTAAATTTCTCGAAATTTCCTGCAAAACTACACATTCTAATTTTTATAATCTATATACATATTTTATAATTAAAATTATATGTACTGGGTTATCATATTAATTCGACCGGTGAAAAAATGATAGATTATAATTTAATCTCTATGTAACAGTGAATATTTATCACTCATAAATCCTTCAATCAAGGATCAAGCCACGAGCGAATCATTTAACATCGTCGTTCACATTTTTTCTCAAAATGCCGCTTTTTTTCAATAAAACATACAAAGATAAGAACTCGTGTCACGTGTAGCGAGTTCCTATTTTCGGATCACGAGTAACGTGACAGGAGGAAAGGGAAATTTTGTGAGATACGCGACCTTGTCGCCGGGAACATTTCGTGTCCGTGATGTCGGTTTCCGGCGAGCGTCCTACGAAAATCGGCGTCTGGTCCGGCAAATAAACATTCGACGGTGATTTTTCCAGTTTACGTATATAACAACTCTTGACAGCCGCGCTCATCGCGACGACAATGGCCGTTGTTGACAGTTGACAAGTGTTGACAAGGAAGACACCTCAGAGTCCTCGGAGCGAGCGTCCGTTCCTTGCATTAATACTGTCGTTTCGATGGTAAATAAACTCATATTAGTCGGAATCTTTTATTCCAGTCATCGGTAAATTAGCTCCACTTATATCATCGTAGATAATTATTGTGATTCGAGTTTCTGTTAATAGATTTTTATATATATATATATGACTGCTTTTCTTGGGTCAGAATGTGAAATCTAAATCAAAATTTAAAAAAGAAAAAAAAACATTGGAAGGAAAAACAGGAAAAATAAGAAATAGAGGATAGTGAAAAAATGGAGAAGATGTACCTATAAGAAACAGCATCTACCTCATATTTTAATAATTAAAAGTGGCAACAAATAAGTTAAACAAAAGTTGAACATTTAATGAACATAAGATATTTCGTGGATATACTCTGATAATTCTCGTATTGAGTAAGTTTTTGACGTAAATTAAATATTAAATAAAGAGAGTAATGCAATATAAATGTAATTTCTTTATTACATTCCTCTATTACTGTAAGATCAACTATAAATTTTGTATAAGAGATTTTGTATCTAGTGGCAAGAGTTTATCCGCTTTAATTTTGATTTTATACTTGTTGCAGATAATGTCATATAACAGAAAGAAATGTGTAGTGCTAGGCTGTAAATCGGAGACTCTAAGGCTCCGCTCGTTTCCAACTGCAAAAGATAAGGAGAGATTTCTGAAATGGTTGAGGGCTTGCGGAAATACCGAGCTGCTGCAGCTGTCTGTGCCTCAATTGAGGCATAGAGTTGTTTGCGATAAGCATTTCGAGGCGAGAGTAAAACTGGCAACCACATTGTCCAGAGTGGCAGTTCCGACCTTACATTTACCCAGTGTGTATATCTAAATTAATCTTTACACATTGCTCATCCGTTTACCTCATATAAATCACCAATGATTTATTTTGTTGTTAAGAGTCTATTGATGTATCAAACTACAAATTTACTGATGTACAAACAAGTGATGCACAAAAGAGTAATGTACAAACGTAAGTACAAACAATAGATAGACTGAGATATTTTATTTAAACTTGTATAATGAAAATGTATAATTTTATATAAAAATGTTTGTTTTATATTTATATAAGTGTTCTTCTAATCATTAATTATATGTTAATAAATATCCTGTTTAATGTAAAGTGATTTTTATATACAATTTTTTATATACATATGGCTATTATTTGTAATAATTTATCATTTTTTTTTTATCTCATTTAATCTGTTCTTATAGTTGGGGAAATATATGCTTTCTAATTATTAAGAGACATATACGTATGCGATTAACTTAAAAGAATAAATATTCAATACCTGAGGATTTAGAACACTCATCGTGCTTCTGCAAATTTGGTGATGGGCCACTAATATTTTATTTCTGTATGTATATAAATGACGTTTCTTTTCTTCTATCTATCAATCAGTGAACAGAGATGACTGTTCTAACTTTGAGATATTTTTTGTCTGTGGCGTTAAAAACTATATTCCTATGTGATTGTCAATAATTTGCAAGAATCTACTCTTACATAGCACGTAAAAATTGAAGTTTTTAAGTTTTATTATTTAGTAAACACTACAAAGGTAATCATATTTTATTTATATATGTAAATAGATATAATAAAAAACCATTTCCACTTATATTTGTAAATTTAAATTTAAACAATTAAAATCTTAAATCTTATTATGACTTTAACATTTATAATTGTGCTTTCTATTATCTTTCTTTTTTAGGACTGATAAAAATTCTACTAATGATGAAATAGCCAAAATACTAGCAGAATTATCGGAATCTGATGTCGGAGGCAGCGAGGACGAGGTTTCTGAAGAGGAGCACATTTTTAATGCAGAACAAAGACACAATGATGTTGAAGAGGATGCCGCAATTCTCTCGGATAGTTCTGATCCGAACGACAGAGCAGCGTTCAACGATTCAACGGAGCCAGTCTATGTTGGCAGAAATAACATTACCACCTGGAACAAGCTTCCTTGTACAAGTCAGTCTGCCACAGTCCCTTCTGAAGATGAAAACATCACGAGACCGAGCCTTCGTCACTCTGAATACGAAATCACAGATGAGCTGTCCGCTTTCCGAGAGATCTTCGACGACGGAATGCTGGAAGAGATTGTCGCTTGTACCAATTTTTCGATCGAGCACAAGCATCGCCTATGTTCTAGCCACAAGAACATAAAGGAGACGACGAGGGCTGAGATGCTGGCAATAATCGGTCTATTATATCTCGCCGGTATGAAGAGAGCTAGACACGCGAGTCTGTTGGAACTGTGGACAGACGACGGTACCGGGCTGGAGATTTGTCGTTCCGCTATGAGTTACAAGTGAGAATTATTTCTATTTATAACAAATAATTAATTCATATTTAATTTATTGTATAAAAATCCTACTATCTCTCTCTCTCTGTTTATATAGGAGATTCTTGTTTCTCTTGGACTGTCTGCAACTCGATGACAGGAATACCAGAGCCATGCGGCTAAAGGTGGACAGGTTGGCGCCTATAAGAAATATCTGGAATAAGTTTGTAGAGAACTGTAAGAAATCCTATTTGCCCAGCGAGTCTCTCGCCATTGGAGATAGACTGAAGAACTTCAGAGGCAAGTGCAGCTTTGTCCAACATGTTCCCAACAAACCGGCACATAACGGATTGAAGATTATCAGTTTAGTGGACGTCAAGACATCATACACTTGTAACATGGAACTTTATTGCGATCAACAGCCAGAAGGACTTTACAGAATCAGCAATGATCCCGCGGCGATTGTGCAGCGACTGATCGAACATCTCAAAGGTTCCAACAGCAATCTATCCTGCAATGAGTATTATACCTCCTATCTGCTTGCTGTTTCACTTCTGGCTGACAAGATAACGTTCCTTGGTGCGATGGGGAAAGATCACAGAGAAGTTCCTTTATGCTTCTTGGCAGGAAAGCCGCGAGCAGTTGACAGTACCCGTATGGGCTTCAGGAACGATGCCACTTTGGTATCCCATGTACCCCAGAGAGGCAAGGCTGTCATCGTGCTCTCGACAGCGCATCACGATGCGAAATTCAATCCACAGACCAAGAAACCGGTAATCATAGAACATTATAATGCAGCAAAAGACGCGATAGACATCGTGGAACGAACGTGTGCGATATATTCGGTTTCCAAAAAAACCAAGAGGTGGCCATTGACAGCATTTTTCGTGTTGTTGGACGTTGCTGGCGTAAACGCTCAGATTCTTTACAATGCTTCTCAAAGCAAGTTTTTGCAGAAGTATAGGAGAGGCTTCTTGAAGACTCTCGCGCTAGCGCTATTAAAACCACATTTGCAGGCAAGTATCAAAAGTATTAAAAATTTAGTTACTTTATAATTTCAATTAACTGATTACTTTATTTATAAAGAAATTAAATTTTTATTTAACTAAATTTTAATTAAATCTTTAAAAAATTAAATTAAGTTATACTTCCTATTGTAGGAAAGGGCAAAGATAAAAACTTTGCCTATCAATATTCAGACCAAGATCTTGCAAGATCAAGTAGATTGTGACGGGGATTGCCAGTTTGACGAACAGGAATTCTCGAAGAAACGATCCCGCGAGATAGATAAGGAGGAAAACTTACCCAGAAGGAAGGATCGATGTTTTATGTGCGGATTACGTAAAGGCATGATTACGACGCAAAAATGCGAGATTTGTTCGAGATTCACATGTAAGAGACACATAGCATATATAAAATACATCTGCAGGAGATGCGATTCTATCGGAGTAGATAAAGATAATCGATAATTCATGAATGTTCAATAGAATAACCATATATATTAAGAATTTTGCTAGCGATCGACGGTGATAAAATTTAATTTGATATAAATAAAATAGATAAAAAGACAGGAAAAGCATGATGCAAGCGATATTGGCAATGAAATGATACAAAGATTCGCGAATTTACTACAAGTTCAATTTAGTCGGGAACAATATGAAAGCCGCACGGAAAAAAAGTTTGATTACTTTTAAAAGTATATTGCGATTGTTCATTTGCATTTTTTCCTTGCATTTGTATACGTCGGTAAAATATTTAGTATATAAGTTTGATAGAGAGAGAGAATATAAATTACAAAAAAAGTCACGTACAATTTTTATCGCAGGCAAAAACTCAGTCATCATTATTTTTTATGCTCTGATAGTAATTATAATTGATAATTAAAAAGGTGTAAATATCTGAAAATAAAAGGATTTCGTTCATTCGTTTCATAAGTGATATAATAATTTATTAAAATAAATATTTATAAATTTTCCACATAAAACACAGTTCTTTATTAATCATTGTACTGCAACAATCATTATATTTTAATATATATAATATTCTTCATAATTTTACCTGAAATAATATATACAAGATGTATAGAAATAATGCGCTTACTTTCATATATTTTTTAAAAATTTTGAATTTTTTTGAAAATGTTTAATTTTGGAAGAATCAGTGTTTTTCCAATTAAGGAAGCACAGTGTTCGTTTATACACTCAATTATGCTTGATGCAGAATCTGTGATTTAGAAGCGCGTTCGTTCTATGACATTGTATAAAGTCCTAGTTTTCAACATTAACATTTTTTCTGACTTACCGCAATAGCAGACACCTCATTTTTCAATCCTCGAAGTTACGACGCCAGTCATCGATGATCTCACGTAAATGATAGTCTCATTCGGCGATTAGTAGTAGTTGTTGTGATCAACCTAGAGAAAACAATAACAGCAAATCAGAAAGTCGGAGGATTGATTTGTAAAATTAATTTGCATTTGTGTCATTGATTTACACTAATCCTTATCTATCAATTTTACGATATGTCATTTGCAATATTATTTGCTTATTCAACTCGTGTCTATTCGACGATATTATCGAGCGAATCAATTATTGTATTATATTCATTCTGTGTTTCTACACCTCCCTATCGTTTATTTAGTTATTACGTACTCGAAAGTCATTGGACGATTTTACCGTTCTCAGTTCTTTCTCTCGGATTAATTTATAACGCCTGTCGTGCGTGTAAATTATTCATCTACGAGAAACTTAATGTTGTTACTGCAAATCTTCGTGAAAAGTGTAAATCTACGAATCTTCTCCTATCTTTCATCCTATGCACTTTTATATTCGATTGTTGTAAATATCTTATGCCATGTATAATATTTATATATACAAGAGACATAAAGATAAAGAAACGCACAACTGTGTCTATTTATAGTTGAATGGAGTCTATTTTGCGATTCGATCGCCTATAAATATACACTGGATATATTACTGGATTTATTACATAATTTATATGCAACTTATATTTACTATTTTGTTAAATCCATTTTATACTCGATAAATGCAGTAGTCGAAGTATCGTTTGTTAATCGAATCTCTGTGTTAATTATAACTTTCATATATAGATATATATATAGACACATATGTTCTCTCTCTCTCTCTCTCTCTCTAGAAATCGATAACTTTTTTTCACAATGAACGGATATATATTTATTTGTATTTACTCACCTGAATTTTCGGGTTGAGGTCTACTCGAGCATTTGATTTTCATTTAACATTTACAATGCTTTGCACTATTTATGTGGCGTGATTCTTATTAAACTATTACTTTTCTTGCTTGTTCTGTCTTTTCCATTTTTTAATATATATATATATATATATAGTACACTTTTTGTTAATATTTATCATTGATATTTATCAAAAATCATCTCTGATTTACTCGATTCAAAAGATACACGGTTAAAAAAATTGTGTACACGTACATAGAACACTATTTTATAATATAAACGATTATTTCGAGTAATTTTCATATATATATTTTACATTATGTATATATATATAACAGGCTAAGCCTGTGAAGCAATTATTCATAAATTCAAAAACGCTTTTGCATTTTTTTACTCAAGTTTATATTCGTTACTGCTGATATATATTTGTACTTTTCTTTTCTGAGCGGGGGAATGTGAACTTTAGCGAATTTGTGACATGTTCTTCGCTGGAGAAAAGATATTTTCTGTCTCTCGCCCTCTGTCTTTCATTCATTGTTTCCTAAGTATCTCAGCTTGTCGCTACGCCTGTGAAATAAACTTAATTTTCGTCAAATTTTATCATTGTTGGTACTTTAAGTACCTTTCGCCGCTTAAACTCCATATTATAATCTAATTGTATATTTGTTTTGTATCTCTTAGCTGATAATATGTGAATAATGTTGTATTGAATCATGAGCGACTTAAAAAGCTAGGAAAAATATTATTTTGGATATTTCTATCAAATTGCACAGCACTCTTTATGTTCAAATAATTCAAGAATAGAACATTACTGGAATAATAATGTTATAGTGAAATTAATATGTGAAACTTGTTAATATTCTGTAGAAAACTGGACCTTAGAATTTAATCTTATACTTTCTTAGAGAGATATATGTATGTATATTTTTTACATTATTTATTTTTTACCTCTACCTTTTTATAATTAAATAATGGATTAAATAATGTTTTCTTAGAACCTGATTTTCACCTTTCGTCTGTGTATTTTTGGATCAATTTGAAGCCGAAATTCTTTCTTATTGCAAACGGCGAAGGAGAAGTAAATGTCCATTTTGCAATTTTTAACATCAAATATCCTTCATTAATTAACTTTTGAATTACATTATCAAGATTTTGTTATTTATATCTCCTTGCTTTTAAACTAAAAAATTTTTCGTTTTCTATCGCTTAACTTTGGAATCTTTATTAAAAAAAGATCGACTCCACAAATGATCAAAGAATTCGAAGACGGATGGTGGCTTGATGAATCCGAGATTGCGCATCTAATCTACTAGGATTTCATAAAAGGGCTCATACCTACTTTCTTTATATACTATCGAGGCGAATATTTGCCTCATTTATCGCTTATTCGCCCATTCATTTATTTTTCTGATTAGCCTGTCTTCCTAGGGCAGTTGCTGGTTTTCGTGTTTCGTCCATTTTTTCTGTTTCTCGTTGCCGGAGGTGAGGTGACAATAACAACAAATTTTCGATATATATATATATCGATGTCTACGATTCTTTTTTTCAATGTTCCTTTCATTTCAAAATCGAGCGATCGCTTACAATAGATCAGGACATGACAACATGGTATACGCTATATATAGAGTAGTTATTTGTAAATGATTCATTGTGTACAATAAACGCTACAAATTATTCACAAGCAAGTTTCATTCATTAATATAAAATAATGCACGATAGAGAAAATTGAAAAGTGTATTGAACTGAATGATTAAATTCATTATCCTACTCGTTTCCCTCTTCGGCTGACACAATTTTCTACCATGGAAAAAAAATCTCTACCAATTGCATTTTTATGCAATCTCTGCCAATTGTTAATAAACATTAAATGTTTCCTTTGTTTAACACCATGAGAATTTTTTAATTGACGATTGTCTCAGCTAGTGCGACATATGTTATTAACTATTAATTATCGACGCTCGTAATAAACTACCAAATTAGAGATTGCGAAATTATACAATAAATTATAAAATTATATAATTTCAATAAACGAAAAAATTACAATAAATAATAAAATAGAGAATTTTATAGCAAAAACAAGAGAATTATAATATAAAATATATAATTTTAATAACTTTTTAGTCAAGAAATTTATATTTTTAGTTAATTTGAATTAAAATAAAAAAATATTGTAGTCTGACTAAAGTGTCAAATTATAAAGAAATATTTTTATATGCTTTTTACTAATGTTTTGCTCTTTCTTCGAGGATAAATTATGCAATTTTAAATCGCGCATCTGCCGCGATTTTATCTTCCCAAAGAATTTATTTATGGTTTCTATTTACAAAATAGGACGTCGGTCTTACATTCACATTATCGCTTTCATCATTGCTGTATGTTTAATTAGTTATTGTTATATTAAATTGTTATAAATCGCGGAGAGAGAAAACGGTCAAGTATATAAACGCTCAACCGGGGCTAAACTTAATCTTAAATTGTCGTACAAACGACGTGGAGTGAAATAATGCAGCGTGTATCGCTAATTGTCAAGTATAAAATGTGTGTACTTCTTATATCGTCGAATGATATATCGATCAAGTTCGTTCCATACGCGCGAAACAAAGACAGCGAATGGTAATGAAGTCTTGAGCGCAAAACGATCTTGGAAAAGTTACGAATTTGAAAGCGCAAGGCTTTTAGAAAATTATCTGATAAAATATTTTTTGTACAAACATAATGATTGACCAATAAAAATCTCGCTTAGGTGAAAAAAAAATTTTTGCATAAAAAGTAATATCAACTTTCCAACTTTTCCAAGATATATATATATATATAATCAGTTTTTTCAAAGAGCCAGTGTAAAATGTTTGGCTGTGCAACAATTGTTTTACAACGGCATTTTCGTTTTAGGTAGACTTCTAATTTTAAAAAACGCATTTTATTTTTCCAGATTATTCAATATTTCGAAAAAAAGGGGAGGAAATAATTTTCTTTTTAGAACTCTCACTTTTTCGTGTGCCGGGAAACGGTTTTCGCTTTTATGTCCTTTCTTTTCTTTTCTTTTCTTTTTGTTTGTCCGTGTAGGAAAAATGTTATCTACTTAGATACAGAATTAATGAGCGCGAATTGATTAATTAGTGTTGGATAACTTTAATAACGTCGCTGAGACTGGGTGTTTTGGTAACCAGCACTGCCACCTGCAAACAACCATAGCTCCTCCGTTCCATTACTTGAGAAATAGAATTTGTGCTTCTGCACTTCTACATATATATAAAATTGAACGCCCTACATATATATATATACACAAATCCTTCTACGAGATACCGCTACCTATTCATTTTTACCTGCCTATTACGCGCATTTACTTCGACCTTTTTTATATTATTTTTGCACATGTACATCTATGATAACATACGCCATGATTAATTTATATGATAATTTTGCCTAATTTTATTCGATATTTAAGATTATGCCAGAAAAAAATGGATATCTTGTAAATCAGATATATTCTTATAATATGCAAATATCTTTTCTTTGTGGATAATCTCGTAATTTTGCTAATACATGCGCATTCATTATTATAAATATTGCAAAAATATTGTATCGAATATCTTTTAACATTGTGGAGATACATATAGACTTGTAATGTCTTGTACAAAAATCTTTCTGATATTGTATTTTTGTAATATTATACAAATGCTCTCGTAGTATTGCAAATACGCCTACAAAATTGTAAATACTTTTTTAGTACTGCGAGTATTTTCTCATGATATATCGCAAACGTTTCGGTCTACTGCAACTAGTTATCATAATGCCATAAATATTTCATGTAACGTTGCATTTATACTTAATGCAGTATTATATTATTAAATTATATTATCATATTCCCTATGCTTATATCTATTTTTTTTATGTTACAAATATTATTATACTGCATGCAGTACTAACTATAATTCTTATTTGATTATTATTTAACAATGTGAATTAACTAAATTTTTCTGATCTTAAAGTCTGGAATTGCAATATTTGAATTTATAGATCTTTTGGAATTTTTTGACAGATCTTTTGATTATTACATGCATCTTCAAATTCTTAAATATTGTAAAATTTCATTATTTATTCTAAAATTTCTCCTGAATATTGCATAGAAAGTGCTTTTATTCTGTTTTTGTCAAAGTATATAAAAGTATAAATCTTACATATAAATTAAAACTGGATACAGGATATTGTTGATATTTTCTTGTACTTTCTTGACATTTCTTTTGTATTTTATTTCATATTATATTATTATGTCACTTATTTGATAATGTCTCTTTGTCTACAAATCTTTTTCTCCATATTCCAATCGACACTTAGCTAACTCCTTTCCGTTTGCTCAATGAAATTTTCTGTACTGCGAGTTGTACTTACCATAATCCTGTTTCCCATAAACACCATCCTGATTTGAATAATCTGCAATCATAGAAAAGGCGATCTTAGATAGTGAAGAATATTGGCAACACTGAGGCAAGTGACTCAGACGAGAAATATCTGAAAGAATTTAAAGGAGTCGCACGAAAATACGAAAAAATAATTTTGTCCTTGAATAATCAATTGATCGGATAAGAGACAGTCATGGCAAAATACAAGATCTCGATGGAGAAATAACAATTCGTTAATTAATTAATTAAAATTAATTTTTGCTTGACTGCTTGAAAAATTAATAATTTAAGAAAGTATTTTCGAAACTATGTGACAGACTAAATAAATCTATCTATTAAAAATGTAAGAAAAATAATACTAAAATATGGAATAATAAAAAATATAAAATAAAATAAAATATAAAAGATACAGTACAATTAATAAATAAAGAATATACTGATAAGTAATAGCAATAATAGTGATACTTTTTTATATATATTTCATGGTTTTCCTTAGATAAAAAAAAAAGAAAAAAAGTTTCGTATTTCACGGACACCTTGTAATGTTCTGCAGTGAGAGACGGCAGGAGGCAGTGCTGCAGTGCTGGTGTCCCGGTGAAAGGATCCAATTTATCTTGCCACATTGGGAATGGAAGTTTGTAAACCCTACGCAACTCTTTTATCGATTCCGTGTGAAGCGCAGTGCGTCCGAAAGTATTCGACGAAAAATTCAGAAAGTTCTAAAGATCCGAGAAGACTTAAAAACATAAGAATTCTAGGAGCAAGATCCGAAAACATAATCTGACAAGATTTCAATTCGGAAAATTCGGTATCTGAATTCGTACCTACATTTTTAGAACATAAATCTATCTACCAATCGAACGAATTATCCGCGAATAAAGTGTGCTCTCCTCTCTGTTGTCGCAATTCTTTGAATCAGATTGTTTCTCGTCTGAATTATGCTTAACATTTTTACTGTAGGAACGTGTCAACTCGGATATCGGCCGGAAAACAAGAGCACAAGAAAAGCGATCTTTAAGAATTTATCTATCATTGAAGTAAAACATTAAATTATCTGTTGTAAAAGAATATCAATACAAATAGTAGCATAAATTCAAAAGTTAGTTTATTTATTAATGTCATAAATTGCTCCAATGTTTATTTTATTAATTTTACCAACAAATATTTAATTAATAATTGTTAATTATATATTTAAGATAGAATTTCTGATACAATTTACAACTGAAAATATCATATGGATAAATCTGGAATATTTCTTTACTCCAACCAGACAATTCAATGTTCCATTTCGATGATAAAAGAGTCCTTAAAGATCACTTCAAGTGCCGTAGCGAAAGAATTAATGAATTATACAATGTGAGCGGTATGATGACAGCGAACGAAATAACTAACCGTAAGGTTGCGTCGAATAACCACCCCGGTTGATTATGTTGGCATTAGACCGGTCATCATATGGGTTAGCAGGGGCATAACCACCCCCTGGCCCCGCTGCTGGCACTGCCTCCTGCTGGTAATTGGCTGGACATGCATCACGTAATATTAATAAGCTAGTTACATACAGGATAGTCCGTTATAGCAGATCTACTCAAATTTATTAAATTTGACATATTCATAAATATATA